CAAAACAAAGTAGGCCAAAATCACATTTATTAGGATTTATTACTATTTGAAAATTTTTGAACGATTTTTTGGTTACACTTTTTAAGTAAAAATATCTTGGAAAAGGTTAAATAAGGACGGTAGGTTATATCTGTCAGAATAACCCTAGACTACCTCCCTTTAACGGCTCCGCCACTAATTTCCAGTCACGAAGAAAGTTAATTGCAATTGAAAGTAATGCCCTTCTAACAGTAAAAAGCTTGTAAATAAAAATTAAAACTGAAAAGTGTAGACTCTGAATTTGAGAATACACAAATTAAATAAATCATAGGAAAATTAAAATCATTCAACGAGTACAAAATTATAAAAATAGACATTACCGCTACATAACTTAATATTTACAGATGACAATATGGAAGCGAACGTGAGTTGATTTTCGTCTATATTTACAGACTTAACGTTCTTATTATCTACCTCCAGTTTTTAATTGAAGTCAGTGAAGTGTCATTTAAATAATTAAACCACTGGGTATCGCCTTAATGGCATTTTGGTTAAAGGTCCACAATGTATGAGCATTCACGTGTGTACCTATCATGTAAGATTCGATTTTGAGCTTTATGTCGAAACATTAAGCTCGAAATGGTAACTTCGGCCCGTATTCTTAAATGACGCTCAAGTTAGAATCTACACTCAAGAATAGATTGAATTTTGTGTGGTCAAATTGATTCAACCAATCGCAGGCTTGAATCTGTGCTCGAGTATCTGTGCTTTAGGCCGGCTCCACATGTTGGCCCCAACATGGGTCCCAACACCACTCGTTCAAACGCGTGGATCTTAAAATATGTAGTATTGGCGCCAATGTTGGGACAAGCTATTTTCCAGAACCACACGCGGAACACGATAAGTGGCGTTGGAATCAACATATGGGCCAATGTGTAGAGCTGGCCTTATGCAACACGTGTGTAATGCTGATAAATGTGCACCTTTTGAGATCTTAGAGGGCATGTCAAATGTCTTATTACTAATTCCAATGAAAAACTGGAGTTAATGGTCGCCTCTCCACCGACTAGCACCGAGGCGACATTTGTGCGTGTTTCCACAATGTTTTGCCAAATGTGCAAACAAACCAGTGTTTTTGAAATAAAAAGCTGTATTTTTGCAGTAAAACAAGGTTGAAAAACTATTTCTGTAACTTACTCGTAAATAAATGGCCGCCTACAACGAAATTAAACTTGTCCGGAAAGTTATTGGTTAAGAAAATGTGATAGGTATAATCAGCGGTTCGCCGGTGGTTTTGCTTACAATTTGGACAAAACCTACACTTATTGACTAGGTTAGTCTGCCCCTGCAGTAAAGCTGCGACAGATATACTTATTAATAAAAGCGTGTTTAAAACAGCGTTTATATCGGTCGGTATACGATAGTCATACCGAAATTGGTCTAGTCTCTGCCTTAATGGCGCCAATTATCCTCATAAACGCCTAACTTATGATGGGTTACGTATGCAAAAAAAAAATAGTTGCAAGACTAACGGATATTATTGGGAGAAAAAAATATGTTGCGTAAAATTATGAGTACTTACAGCAGGAGGAATGGTCAAATTAAATTAACTCTAACAACTTACACTACAATTAAACCTACTTAATTAATATTTACATCCCCATTGGCTATCTATGAATTACATTACCTACACACTATGCATCAAGAATTCAAATCCATCAGTCTCATTCCTTTTATTATTACCTAATCATTTGTGCGAACATTTGTGCGATCTGACAGCGGTTAGGTACCTGGAAGTACTTGGAATTTTAAAAATTGATATGTTCATAGATATTGACGTACTATTGTACGATTTCTACTTTGCCATTCGCAGCAAGGTAAAAATCATACAAAAGATCTGCAAAATCTATACACATACCATTTACTGAAACTCCTGGTAGGTATACTTTTCAGGTACGACTCTTCCAAATGACTGGACAATACGCCATCTCCTTGCACGCGATAAATAGACAAAAGTTTCACCAACTTTATGTCAATGTAATCCTTAAAATAGGTCCCACTCAAACAAAAACTAAGCATGTACCAGTAGCACTGAAACGGCGTTTCTTTGGAATGTTACGTAGGATTTTAAACAACTCTTAAGTACATTAAACCCAAATACTAAAATAAGGAGACTCAGATGCAAATGTGCTTTCATTAATTCATGTTAAGTGTAAGTACGCCTGATTGCTGTATAACACCACATTGAAATCTGTCTTTAAGTAGATACTTAGAGACAGAGTTCGATAAAGTATGTGCTCTTATAAAGCGAAAAAAGTGTACCAATACCAATCGTAAAATAATGAAGTACGCACCTACGCAGCTACTCCTCAATGACAAAAAAAAATTGTGTAATTTAAAAAAATAAAATTAATGATTCTTAGATTAAAGAAAATGAAATATAAAAATAAACGTATAAACGTGATAAAGTAAATGTAATCAGAAACCTTACTTCGTCCGAAAATGTCGTCATGGAATGGTGAATATCTATCAATAATCCCCACTATAATAAATTACAATGACTCGAATGTTTATTTACCAACAAAAATAGACATCAACAAGGATGGCAATGGATAGAGTGAGGGAATGTCCAGAGTTTAAAGCAAATAATAAAACTTTTTCCGAGAATGCTAAATAAACCCTGCTTTATTTATCCACAACGAAGCTCTAGGTCTGCATCTCAACTAGTGGAAAGTGAGGATTGGCCTGAAAATGAAAGCGAGCTTCTTCTGGGATACTTTTTTTGCGGTTTTTTTTTTGTAATAATTATAACAAATTGTTATTTTTTCTGATTGAGGTTGTTTAATCACGTATTACAAAACAACGAAAAAACTCGTTTTAGTTTCAGTCATAGATTCTGTTTTGTGACTGGTCTCAAAATCGAACCACCAACCAATCAAACCATCAAACCAACTCCAAAAACCAATCAATAGTCGAAATCTATGCTTGAAAATGTATCGAATTTTTTAAGGCGCATTCAGATTTGAGGCGTGAGGAAGCGCTACAGTGGCGCTACTAGTTTTCATACAATTTCTAGAATGGCACGACTTTGTCACGGTAGTGGCGGGGCAACTGCGCTTCTAGAAATTGTATTAAAAATATTAGTAGCGTGACAAGCGCACCACACTAGCACCACTGTAGCGCTTCCTGACACCTCTAATTTGATGGGGCCATGTTTTTCTGTAATATGAATTAATGTTGATTTTCTGGAACATACACCTATTGATGTCTCGTTCTTCGTGCCAAACCTTAATACCTTTCAAGCCTTCGAATGGTGGGTTTACCTAAATATAAAAAAAATTATCATAATTAAAGCGCAAAATATTGATAGCGAAATTGTTAATACTCGAAAGTAAAAGAAGATACATATAAATTAGTATAAATACTATAAAATAATGTTAAACAAGGTACATGATAGCATACCAGCTGACGCTCCTTTCTTTGGATGTTAACTTTGGTATATTTCTACCACATTTCACACATGAAAAACAACATAGTGAAGAAACGTTATTTTCAAAGTATAAAACTAATTCATGACTAGGCCTGCTATTTTTTCATAATATTTTCGAAAATCAATATGAATTTAAATATAATGATAAATTAATATAAAACAGACTAAAAATTTTAAACTGTTATTAAACACTAAAGATAATTAGCCAAAAGGTATAACTTTGAATTTAGGTACAAAAATACTACGGTGTTGATTTCCATGTGTGATAAATTTATTAAATTGTTGGGTTTTTAAATACGGGACTTAAAGTGAATTCGATCGGAAGCTTTTAATTTTGAAGGAACTAAGTATTGAACGATTTGTATGGAATTTAATCGACTTATCTATTATAGTCTTGATAAATCGATTAAGCGGTTTTCTATTTAGTTATTAATTATTCAAACGAGAATATTATAAATTTTGATTTATTGGTGAAAATTATTAAAATGGAAATTAAATTATTGCTTTAATTTTGAGAAAATGGTCAAAATTAAATGGTCAAGTAAAAGGTGGAATTTAATTCCGAAGCCTGTTTTTAAATCTGAATCGTTGAAGTATATTTTCATGTTGTTTCGTTTTTTTCGTAACCGCTTAATTTAGAACGCTTTAAAGATCAGAATGATGCATTTGCTGGACAAGTCAAAAACCAACAATCATCATTGTCATTCGTCGCCGCTAATTAAAAACAAAAGAAAACTAACGAAAATTACAATGCAGGCCCCTTACTTACCTACTTATATTACGATTCAACGTTTCATAAACATCTCCCTTAAATTACCAATAACATTGTTAAATCCTTTATATTTTTGTGGTTCTTTGGTTTGAACGGGCGGGAAGTAACACTACGCTCACTGGAGATGTTAAAATTGTGCTGAGATTATGTTAGGAGTACCAGGAGCAGTGCTTTAAGCCGTGTGTCCGCTCGAGCATGATCAAGTGGATACACGGCTTTGGTGCCATTTTTCCTGTGATGCACATTTCGACACGCGTGAAGATCAGTACCTCATGTGGGCTGCCCGCTTTTCATTATTTCACACACGTTTTTCCGTTCCGCTTGCGTGTAGCCCGCTTAATAGGAAATACGTAGGTACAGGATGGATTTTGAAATGCCACCTGGAGGGAAAGTGCTCTTAATATTGTAGATATAAAATTTTACTCAAAGAAAACATTACTTTATTTTCGAAAAGAAATAGAACTGCATTCAAAGATTTCCAAAAATTTGCTTGTCACACCCGGGAATCGACTCAACTAAAATGTGTTAAAAATTACACCCTGTATTTTTATTGCATCGATCCTTAGGGTTAAGTGTAAGGATGAAATCTCTTTAACAAACTTAATAAATAATTAAATAAAAGGAAAACCTTGAAATATTAAATTATTTTAATTATTCAAAAAGTGTTATGCTATTGGTGGTGAATTTTCGAAAAAAAAAATCGGAAATCTTTGAATAGGTACTGTTCTTTTTCTTTTCAAAAATGAAGAAATGTTTTCTTTGAGTAAAATTTTCTATTTACATTATTAAGGGTACTTTCCCTTCAGGTGGCATTACAAAATTCCACCCTGTAGGTACATGAAATAACAAAATGCGGGCTACCCGCACGCGAACTAGATCCGTACGTGTGCCGAAATCCTTATCACAAGAAAAAGGCACTTACTTAGTGCTACAAATTCCCGTCCGTTCAAGTATTTTTTAGAAAAATATGATAGCCTAAAAACACAATCACACCAAATCTGTCCCGTTTTTATTTAAACTATGTACATGTCTTTATATATTTTACGTGGAAATCCGAGATTTTCGTTGGATGAGAATGCATTCCTTGTATGTGAAACCTTGAACTTATTTACATTTATGACGACTAGTTAGTTATGTATTAGCTATCAACCTTATAATTATAAAATCCGAAAAGTAGCTATGTGAAATAACGTATTGATGATACACTAATTAAAATGTAGGCTATTTGTGCACGTTATTGAATAAAGTTATGCTTAACAACTAATTGATTATGGACACATAAATCACTAAGTATAATAATGTAAGATATAATTTGGATAACTAATACAGTACACCACCTAACATAGCATATTTGGTTCAATAATCAAGAGTCCAATTTTTAAATTATTCTAGGTTAAATGGCAAGTAATGCCAAAAATAAATGTGTAATAAATAAATTAAAGTAATTAAAAATGTCTTTGTGGCGATGCTGTAAATAAATATTTGTTTAAATAAATAAATTAAGAAGTTTGGCATTATACTGTCCGAACTTAGAAATTAAAATAAGATTTCGAGAGTACCCATACGTCCGCCAAATATTTGGTTTAAAACGAAACATAAAACTAGCACGTGTCCAGTCTTATAATTATAAAGTTTCTTAGTGCGGGCGTCTCGGGCGTCTCTTTTTGATCCTCCTGATGAAAACCTTCTGATGGTACTTATTTTTGCGTCATCTGTTCTCTTGGTCCACCGGCCGAAGCTCGATCTGAAAATATTGTTGAAAATTTAAATTAAGTAGCTGTACTTAGAACTTCTTCACATAAGAGCAGCTAATCGCCCCTTTGTACGAGAGAAACTGATCGTACATAATAGTTGACTATGGCCCAGTTTTTTCAAAATGTAAACAAATAGTTAAAAAATGTACTAAAAGTCAAGCTAACCATTGTCCGAAAAACATTTTTTTCTGATTTAACCACTTGTCATTTGACATGTATCAAATTTGACTATTGGTTATTTTATCTACGAATCAAAAAACTGGGCCTAAGAGCAAAATGTAGCTTCACAATCAGAACTCTTTCCTTACATCAGATTTTTCTTCTGCTTTTTAATGACATTTGTATCGAGCCCAACAAAAATTGCAGGATTTTTATAGTGTTTAAAAGAAGAAAGGAATGAAAAATATTAAGCTTACCTATAATTGTAGAGTATGAATTAAATATCATAATAATTGACATTGCTAACAGCCTCCTGAAATTTTTTTCGGAATCTGGACTTTTGAAGACTTTATTCTTCCTCTGAGAGTTTCAGAACTAATCTTACCTACACTATCGGTGTTCTTAGTCGTGTCCTCCTAGCTAATCACCGAAATTGAAACTACATCAGAACTTTGGAATATTGTTCTCTGGGAGTTTGATGACAGCGAGTGACCCGAGATTGTCTGAGAATTGGCTGAGTCTTACACATACTTATACGTTTACACTATTACTTATCTAAGAAATTGCTGCAAGTGAGCTTCCCCGATTACTATCGTATCTGGCAATTTCTGAAGACCAAATAAACTATTTCTTTCTTCCGAATTGTCCCTCTTTATACAGAACAAGGCAGGTATTTAACCACAAACACACCTGATGTTAAGTGTGATGCAGCTTAGGATGGTTAACATCTGCTCTGTAAGTACCTATTCACTCTTACTTTTATGAGGCCCGGGTTATAGTGTTTGAAGAAGACAGTAGCAGGCAGCGAACTCCAGTCCCTTGCTGTTGAAGTTATAAAAGAGTCTTACTTCGCTCAAAATGACCCAGTACTGGCTGCTCCTATTGACGGAGAGCTTGATTGCGGCCAATGGTCCAAAGTCCTTACTGATCTCCCCCTCAGCCATTCCAAATTCGTCGAATTTCCCCACAACGGTGTAGTTGCCTTTGTTGGCTGGTAACACCTCGACGGTCGTGTCATAGAACTTGTCGGAGACATGCTCTACATTGCCGCTGCGGAAAGTGTACCTGGAATCGAAGATTTACCCATTATTTTATAGATCATTAATCAGATTTCGGAAGTTTATCCATAGCCTTTAGAAGAGTTTGACTCCTATTTCATTCGAAGGAATTTTGTTGCAAGTCCAATGACAGCTGAAGTTTCACCAGAGACGAATTTGGGTTTTATGTCCGGTCAAACTGTAGATCCTGGCTACACAGGAGTAACAGCACAGCAGTGGGAATTAATAGTATAGTATAGTTTTAGTTGTAGCTCACGAATGCACTTTATATGGAGTGATTTTTATTAAATACTTACTTTTCTATAGCGGTGGGCTTCTCAAAGATGATCTCGACGAAGTCACCCTTCTTAGGTTTGATACCCCAGAAGTAAGTGACTCCATCATAAGCCCTTCTTAGCGTGTGGTCTGAATGCTCGTCAATATTGCTTTTTATGTCTTCGATTGGTGGATTATTGTGCGGATAGAAGGTTGGTACTGCGCCAAAATGGGAATCCTTAAAAGAATAGAGAAATCATTAAGTTCTGCTCCAGAATTCGTGAACATTTTACGAGTCAGTGTAGTTAGAAGTACATAAATACCTTGATCTTTTGGATTTTTCCTTTTAGTGAAGAATACAATCCTATATGTTGGAATAGTGATGTCTTGTATCGAGGCCGAATTTGGAGCTTACTTTGCAAGCACGTTTTCTGAAATTGATATAATAAGAGTTCTTACTACTTGCTACTTGTAAGATAACGGTTAAATCAAATATCAATTAGGACTTTTTTTTCCAGTTCTTCATTTTACAAAATCTTACCGAAGTTTTCTCAATCGTGCAGATCTTATCTGCCAGGTAGCTCTCAAGCAGCCAGTCGATCGGCATGTTATTGTAGAACAGCTGTACGTATATGATGAAGCGCGTCAAGTTAGAAGACTTGAACAGTTTCCCTATTCCCCCCACTTGGCAGTACTCTATGTAGAACCAGTCTGGATTGGACACGGAGGTCTGTGCTGCGAACTTTTTGATATCCTGAAATGGAAGTTTGAATTCAAAAGAAACAATAAAAACCTCAATAAGTATCTGTTTCTATAACTTTTTGGATTTCTCGTTAGTCTTTTTTTTTTCACCGTTTGTCGTAAGCTAAGAATAACAATACCGTCAGAAGTAAATAGTAATACCTGCTTATATTCTACGTGAACTTTCGTATGAAACACATGCATTAAAACCATTTCAGTGCCTCAGGGAAGTGTTTGGATAAATCATTGGGGATTTACAATGTCGCCAAACTGTGGAATAACGTAATAAAGTAATTTCTTGTGTTTTAGCATGTCAACCGTGTCTAAATTAGTTATTGCGAAACATTTATTTATGTTGTAAGTAGGTATGTATCTGAGTAATTGTTAGTACTGCTAACACTCGTATTAAGGTCAATGCTAAAGGTTAAAACCATTGCTTCAATGATCAATCAAATCTTTGAGGATCTTCAATTATTACTGTGAATAAGTTTTAAATGGATTGTTGTCAAGTGTTTGAATTGAGTTTCACACACGCTGGATCAACAACGAGTATACTCGTAGCTGCGTTGATTTGCGTCTGTCATTTATTGAAACTAAAATGAAGTGTAGGTACTTATTGAAAAAATAAAATTTCATCGTTTCGAGTGAAATCTTAGAAGAGTATTATGTTAGGCGAAATTCACGAAATTTCGTGAATTGTTTATATCCCTATGTACGGATTCTAAGCTTCCCATAATCGCCTAAATTCATTAAGGAGGTGAGGCATATAGGATTAGCTCACTCCCGGTTCAAGTCAAAACTCGTTCTACTGAATTGTTACAACGTTGGTTGAACGCAATTTGGTAGCAAACGCACCTAAAATTCGCATTCTGCACAAATAGGGTTAAAAATTAAAAAAACAACAACATAATATAGGTCAGCAGCAACTCGCATTTGCTATAGCTTTGCCTATAGGAATAACAATATACATACAACAAAAGAGAACAAAACAAAAATATTGGGTCGAACAAGTAAAAAAAATGTTGATTTCACTTTATGATTTCCTTTTAAATTACTATTCTGCTGCAGTGAGCTGAGAATTTCTTCGCGATAGTTAACTAACCGCAAAACAAATACAAGTGACTACGTACATAACCATTTCAAATTGAAATCAACACTATAAAGAACCAAAAATAAACAAACTTAAATGAAAGACATAAAAATCAAACAACACGTATGACGGCCTTACCTGCATATAATGGTTCTTAGCAATGACGTCATCCTCGAGCATCAGGTAGAAGGTGCCCTTGGACTGCGCGTACGCCATTAGATAAACTGTGTCCAGATTCTGTTTTGTTCTCCACTTCACTCTCTTCTGGGAGTCGCCGAGCGTGATCGGCAACGAGTCAAAGTCAGGGTAGTACGTCGGTGAGGCTGATATCACCTCTATGAGACCACTCTCGACGTGCTTGGAGAACCTGAATAAATTTCAAGGGGAATTGAGCACCATTGGCAAGAGTCAAATATTTTTCTTTTTAATTGAAGTTTAATGATGATGAAGGATAATGGTGTGCATAAAGTCTTATCTTAGTCTTACGATAAAAAAATCTTGAAGATTCATGAGAGTATGGTTAAAGAAGGTATACTCACATTGTTTCCACCTGTCTGGCCGTATTGATGACGTATTCCAGATCAGTCTCTCCAACCATGACCACAATGAGAGTGGAATTCAAGTCAGCTTCCGTGAGGCCGCTGATCAAATGCTAAAATTATGAAAGGACAGTTTAAACTACACGTAAACCTTAATTTGTGATGAGTAAGCAATTCAGTTCAGCTAAGCCCCTCTTAGCTGAACTCAATTGCTTACTCATCACAAATTATATGATTATGACATGATTAATATGATTATGAGATAAAATATGCATTCGATGTTGGCATTCAGGATTTTAACTGTTTTATTGTAGGTATGTGGCAATAGAGGTCAAAACTTGATACAATTTTCAAACACAGATAGACGCTTTTCATTGATTGAATTCAATATTTAGACCTATCACACGACATAATCTACGACCTTAGTGTCCTAGATAGTTACTAGCCTTTTACTGAATAATGAATTTGAATACTGTAAATGTTGTGTGTCTGAATTATAATAAAATGTAATTCAAGAATTGATGCTCATTTGTTTCGGTAAACGATCATTCCGTTCGACAAATGAGGCCACGTAATTCACAATGCAATAAATCTGCAAGTGTCACTGACACTTTTTAAGGGTGATCCTCCATTGTGAATCAGTTGGAGCATTATGCATTTATGCAGCGACAGATTTGAACCGAGAGTTGAGACCGGTAAACAACTTAAGTAATAGTTCATCTTAAGACTCTTTTATGCACGGATTAGAGTTATGCGTTTCTTCAAAGACATCTGGTAAACGAAGTACACTGAGTAGCTATCTCTTAGTAGGCATTATAAGTTACTTAATATACATAGGTACTGATCCGCCAAATCAAAAAAGAATCCTTTCCGAAACGATTCGCATGTATGGTAAACATCTCATGATCATACGAAAAGTACTACGAGTATTTATTGTATCGCAACATTACAATTAACATTTTTCGATGAACACTACTTCATTTGTTAAATGTACGTACTATAACACGAACACACAAACATGTCACAAACAACATGGGTTCGCTCAGTGACTCATCAAGCGAACTGATTAATGTGGATATATTTTCAAGCAATATATCAAAATTCCGTAAAGGACTAATTTTGCTGCCTTGATTGTCTTTTCTAATTTATATATTTAACGCACTATAGTATGATCATAATTTAATTTCATAAAAGTATTTTTTTTTGCAAAATTATTGTAAAATTACTAATTTATTGTTATTTAACTTATTTCAATTTAAAATTTACTAATGTTCTGTGCTACGTTAATTCAATTTCTTTTGTGTAACGCCTATAATTAAGATAGCACTTAACCTATTATATAAGCATGTATAATATTGTCTAAAATGGTGTATGTCTTGTTGGTGTTAATAAATAAATAAATAAATAAACACTGTTTAGTTACTATACAAAATATACTGTGGCTTATAAGCTTCAAGAATAAACTGGAACATAATAAGTCAGGAGACTCTAAATAATAATTCCAGACAAGACCTCAACGAAGTTTAGACTACACGCCAGACAGACACTTGAATAGAAAGTTATGCGGAACCCTAAAACCGTCCTTGCGAGAGGGTTAACACTCCAAAGTTCATCTGCATGTCGGAATAATGTTCAATTGAGATAGAATATTCGAATATTATTCAGTCGGTTCATTGCGGGTGGATAGAATTTGATCAATCAAATAATTTGCCGATCTAGTGTTAATCTGGGTACGGAGAACCAGCCTAACGTCTAGCTCAGGTTAATTAGATATTTCAGTTTGCCTATCTGACCGTTCGCGCATTCGGCGAGGATTTGTCTGATGCAATTACGTAGTAAATTTCAGGCCGGAGCATTTCCATTTGAATTGAAAGCACAACGTGCATTGGTAAATGAAGTTATTGATACTATTCGTATTTACTTCTGTAGAAAATAATTGACGTATCAAGTACATAATTAAATGTATCAGAATCCAGGAAGTTTATAAACACTATACACACTATGACTGGAAAGTATAATTTTAAGAAATAGTGCTTTTAATTTGTGGTATTTGTGAAACTATGATAAATATGGTTAATAAACTTCAATATCACTATCAGGAAAGGAAATAAGAACAAATAAAACCAGCGACAATAAACTACGAAGAAAACTAACGACACTGACCTGCCACTCAAACCTTTTGTTGAACAAATAGAAATGAAATAATATCACTGCTCGCCACTTTTTAATACGTAAAAATCCCTTCGTGAATAATAAATAAAACAAAGCCTGTCAGTTAAGCAACCGACTGTTATGCAACCGTAATATAACGTGTTATTACTTTTGACGTGGTGATACTCAATTGGACGTATTAAGTCTTCAGTTGTCAAACGTGTATGCATAGCTCACTAGAATATTAAAACGCTTTCAGTGATGGAAAAAACTTACTTCGAAAAACATTTTTCTTGAAAGGAATGGCTTATAGAACAAAGACTTCAGACAAAGCATTATGATGCACTTTATTTTCTAGATGGAAAGGATTTTCATGGAATTTTGTAGCAGAGTACCTTTACTAAGATTCAGCAAAAATATAAGACTTATTGATTTATGATTGAGACTTGTGTCAGACAAGCTGAAGGGAATAAGGGTGAATTTTGATTTAAAACCAACTTACAGTTAGTGTAATCATCAGGTAGTTCTCCTTGTCCCTCTTAACAGTCGGTACGCCAATCACCACATCGGCGAATATTCGCCCTCCCGTCATATGGTACGCTGGTCGAAGACTGTTCGGGTCATTCATTAGGTATGGGAGCAGTTGGTACAAGAATGGCAACCTCATGTCAGGGATGCTCTTTGGAAAGATTCCACCGGCTGCTTTAGTTCCTGCCGCCAAAGAAAGTCATCGTTGAGTCATTTGGCTGAAAAACCTAGTAATTTAGATAAATAAACACACATCTAGTCTGTATACAGTAACACAGGTACATCGAACTCCGATCTTCCATTTCGCCAGCCGTCGTAAGCGTTGATCAAGAATTCATAAAAAGTTTTCTCTTTTAAACAACAATTTAATTAACTTTGTCTGCGCCATACAAGGAGACGCTATAGATTTTTAAGAAGTGAAATAAAACTAACAGCACGCGGACCTTTCAAAACCAGCTTTAAGTGTACCTACACAATGTTATTTTAATTAAATTTTATTCCCTTGAAAGAACACGGCGAAGTGCTATTTGCTATTGATTACAACTCAGAAAAAGTAACCCTAGAACAGAGTATGCCTTTCATTCAATAAACTAAGGATATTAAAGGAGGGAAATATTCCTTGTTATATTTTATCAACGTCGAACAAAATTATTACAGCGCGCGTGCATCTTTAATGAACTCATTGACGTATTTCATGAAAGCCGTCGTGATGTATTTTAGTGGATGATGCATAATCGAATTGAATGACGAGAATGAGATTAACGTGAAAAGACTTTGATAAAAAATTAATTACATTTTTGAATTTAACAGGGCTCTTTTATAAGTTGGCTATGAATCACCAAGCCTCCATTTTCAGACTCATAAAAAAAATAAAAAATAGGTACCTACGTTTGTAATTTTCTATGACCCCTGCCTCCTAATATTCTATAACTTACTTAATAACTTTGCTTTACTATTTATACATTTTATGGCATGATATTGAATTGCATGCACTCACAATCTCATTATGCAATATGTGAGAGAGCTTTTGCGTTCTTCAAGGAACAGTATACAGCAAAACTAAATAGAGAATCTTCATAGGGCTAAAAATACCAGCACTGAAACCAATTATCCTGTGGCAGGTTTTATACTTTTTATGTCATTGTTTTAGACAAGCTATTTATTATTGGATAAATACCGTGGTAAATAATTAAATTTAATTTGCCGTGTAAGGTAAAATGAGGCAGGTTATGTTTTTATCTCGTTATGCAACGTGTTTATGTTCTCCTTTGTTTTAATGTGAAAAAGTAAAACTCGCGTAGCTGTTTTTTTTTATATCGCTGAGCACACACACTAGCTAAATGCCAGTAATTTGCAACAACCTAAAGTTTTTGCTGAAGAAAATCAAATGCGAACCTTGCAAAGGTACAATCGCTGTTGCAAAATTTGGGTATGAATGTATTTTTTTATTGTGATTGTATTACGATTTTCCTAAGACATTTAAACCATAGCAATGACCTCGTTGGGGCGACACTTTTTTTAAGATCATGTGTACGAACTCTTAAAACCTTTGTACGTTTCGCTCAATTTGTTTTTCCTCAAATTATTTACAAAGTTTGTAAACAGGTTGACAAATGTTTCAACATTGAATTCAAACACGTTTTTTATCGCAATAAAGAGAAGGCAATATGTTTAGAAAATGTTTTCCATTACTTGATCTTAATCAAGATATTTCATTTTTCCTAATTTTATTTTTCCGTATTATTTCAAAAGCTTAGCTCAGTATGCATAAAGGCAACCGTCATTTTGGATTTTTTCTCTCTATTATGGTCTGATTCCATTGTCAATGTTATTGTCAAAGTCAAAAAGTAGCAACACTTACCGGTGATGTTCCTGAGTAAAGCTTGCAACTCAGGAGTCACGGTGGTGAACCCACCGTCGAAGGCTCCTTGGTCTTGGGCCTCCCCTTGTTTGTGTTTTGTGGTGACTTTGGTCTAAACAATGCAAAAATAAAAAGTCAATAATGTTCCTAACTACTATGTTACCTATAAATCTTCAAAATGTGTCATCACAATGAATTTGAGGAAACCTAAACGATTTTAATTTAAAAACAATCCCTGCATCTGTGCAAAAGAACTATAAAAACCAATCCCCTAAATCTGTGCAAAAGAACAAAGCGGAAAACATCTCACACGTAAATCCATTAAGCATGTATGAAAAACGCTCACAACCCATTTTGGAACTGCTGGCAATGCCTGTCTAAATTTATTACTGCCTGTATATTTTATAACCCACTTCAAAAAAGGAGAAGGTTCTATTTTCCACTGTACTTATTTATTTTTAAAGTGATGTGGCATTATTTTAAAAAACGACATCGAAGAACTCAGCCATAATTCGATGAAGCCTTTCACCTGTACGAGGCAATTTCATTAGGCTCTTTATACAACTACGCGCTGCACTTGTTTGTGATTTAATCAAAATGGAAGAAAAATAACTCGTTCGTTGCATCGTCAGACTGTTTACAGGAAAACATCGGGTGGAATCTTCAAACTATTTTTATATCGATGTAAGGAGCAAAGTTTTACATTCTCCTAATGAATGCAGGCGTAGAGAAAGTTTGCCTCGGCGATAAACTAGCGATCTTGAAAATAAATAACACTCGACAAATTGACATGGAAATATTGCGAGAGTAAAACCTACTTTGATATAAAATGTTCCTTCAGTTTCTGTTTCAAAAGATCTTTAGTAATGTACCTATTAAAGTTATGACACGAACTACGAGTATCTACTTACTCTAATGAATATAAACTCAAGTTTAATTTCAGCTTCAAAAGTTTTCCTTTTCAGCTTTTAGATGACGCCACGCCTGTCCGTCTGTGATAATTTTTCCTTTTACACTCGTTAATGCGCTAAAAATAAGTAAACTTTAATAAAGTATGGTGGTTATGTTAAGGTAAAAATGTATTAATTAGCTAATTGCTTGGTAAGTATTTCTTGTTATACCTAATTTAAAAGTCACTTTTTATACTCACTAAAAGTTGAGTTAATAAGCACCAACTTTTTCAGTGTGAGTCTAACGTTATGTTTACGATTATTCAGTAGCTTTGCAAACACTATCTATAGCTAATTAATTTAATAGTTATGCCGCGCTGCCCTGTCATGTTCAATAACTACCATGGTTGAGAGCACATAAATGTTTTTTGTTTTCCCACTCGAAACAGAATACCAACAGCAATCAATGTGCATTCTCCACATGATTGCTGACGGTGGTATTCAACCAACGGAAAATATCCGAGCATAACTCTGGCTACATGAAAATTTAATTTTACGTAATATTTTCCATGGTAACCGGAAACTGCAGAGACAGTCAGTAATTCAATTTTAAAGTTACTGGTAGCGCAGGTAAAAAATTTAATTGCAGTTTCTAGCGGAGCATATTTTGCATCGACCGGATTTCAGCGGAAAGGAAAATGCGCAATTTTCATAGGAATTTTCCCAGCTCCAGTGTAATTGGAAGCTTTATTAAATTTTATATGCACATTCCCAAAATAAATAGAATAGGAAGGCTTTAGTTTGGTAGAAGGATTCACTAATGTAGCGTGGAGATTAATAATGAGCCCGATAATTATTCATATTAGGTAATATGTAATACGTATATGAATACGTAATTCATAATCTGATCACTGCTTATTACATGGGCATCATTATGAAACCTACAAGAGTGCGTTTCTGTCACTTATTTGCTACTCTTGCGAGAGATTACTTTTATACTGGTGTTTAAGTACGTTTTAATGATCGTATCTGTGGTTGACTTCATGCCAGGAGCAATTCCTTGAGCTCGTCTTTTATACATTCAATTATCTATAATCTTGTACAATGCAACGGGCACTTATTTATGATAAATTTAATTCTGACTTGTCTAGCTGTTGTCGGCCCTGAATAGAATTGTAGATAAGAATTGTAAAATGGAATCACAAGAACTGAGTTCTAAAGAAACGGCAATATTCAAGACTCAACTAAATGCATTGTGCCTTTTAGTAAAAGATCTCTTTAAAAAGGCTTCTTTGAAACGCGGTATTAGCTCTATCTCCTTGGCAAAGATTAAGTAGATGCAGTTGACAGCAAATCAGAATATAATTTTAATTAATTACAGAACCTCGCCATTCGGCCTGTAGTGTCAAGTTTGTTTAATGTTTAAACATTTTGGACATGTCATTTATTGAGTATCAAACATAACATAACTTGGTACTATCGGCCACAGTTCCATCAACCCATTTCCGATTTTTCTCTCCCTCTTATCAAAATATGGTGATTCTTTGCGATAGAACGAGACGACATGACCGAAAATGGGTAGTTGTAACTGTGGCCGATAGTACTTAGTGTATCTTAGTGCATTATTGTACGAAAAGTTTATATTTATCAACATCCCATAATCTCACATGTATTCGCATTAGATTAGACGGCGAAACGAATTGCTCGCCTAGTTGATTTGTTTCACAAAATAGAATTAAATAGAAATATAATTTTATTGCCGCAACCATCTGCGGCTCAATCGAATCACGGATCTGCACAAATCGATTTCCTCTTGATGAAAAACAGGTACTTTGAGAAGTCGAGGGATTTCCATTTTTAAAGTCGTTACCTTGCACATCAGATTAAATAAGAAAATTCTTTGCCTTCCGATTTAATTTCTTGGTTAGCATTACTTCTAGTCTTTTTACCTACGGGCTAACTGATTTAGTAGTTTAGACGCTTTATTTTTCATCAAATGAAAAGTGACCACGCTTTTAAAGATTTATTTGGACTTTGTATAAACACTTCAAAATCTGTCTTGGCTTCTCTCATTGCCACATAGGTGAGTGTTTTCATACGAGTTATGGACCAAATTCTACGAGGTGGACATTTTACAGTGAACACAACTCTGTGAGCACGGTTAAAAATTAAAATTCTTGTGTCGACTCATTTAGTGAAATACGTCTCTAGGACTAGGTTATAAGTACCATCAAGCGTTTTCGATCTTTGAGCGAAACAAAATCAAATCAAGCCTATCTGAGAATTTGAATTCTTAAATGGACTCATATAGAAAAATATTGCCTCTAAATATAAATTACTAGCTTTTGCCCGCGGCCTCACCCGCGTGAAATTCAGTTTGTCACAGATTGTCCTAAATTATAGCCTATATTATGTTATTCCGGGTAATATAATACTGCAAAGTTTCATCAAAATCCGTTCAGTAGTTTTTGCGTGAAAGAGTAACAAACATGTTACACATCCAGACATCCATACAAACCTTTGCATTTATAATATTAGTAGGATAATTTTTCGACGTTGTCTACCTTATATAAGATGTTGTTTACCTCAGTCTACGTCATCGCCTACCTTACTTATGTCGTAATCTAGCTTAGTGACGTTCATCATCCTCGTTATCATCATTTCAGCCATAGGACGTCCACTGCTGAACATAGGCCTCCCCCAATGATTTCCATGTTGATCGATTGGTAGCGGCCTGCGTTCAGCGCCTTCTTGCTACCTTTATGATGTCGTCGGTCCACCTTGTGACGTGACGTGACGTGCTTAGTGACGTTCTCTACCTGCTAATTATCAGACTTACCTCCAAAGATATGATGTCCTCTTGTCGCGACCGGTACAGTGACTCCAGGAACTGCAGGTTTGATTGCATAGCCGCCAAACGTTGCTCCATCTCCTCCTCACGAGGGAGTTGTGCTACAACAAAATGTGATTATGGGGAGAGGATGACTCACGTTATTTTGGTGATAATTGATCGTTCATGCTATTAAAAAGTAAATTGCGTTTTATGTTTGAAACGTATAGAATATATGAGATTGCTGCTTTGAAATATTTTGTCTTCTGACTAGTGTCCTAACGCATTGTCCAAATTAGTACTAAAACCCAGTCTAGAAATTATGTTTGATAGTTAGTTTTCAAAGCTCGTGAAAATATTTTACAAGGAATCTTGTCTTGAGAAGGAACAGGGCTCAAATGTACGTAAAAACTTAATTTTATAATACCATCTCATTTGCGTTTCATATTATTGGTTAATTGTGTAATTCAACTTACTGGCAATGCAAATAAAATATGTCTTGAATAAAAGTGTTCGAATAAAAATAACAAATGAAAATCGCTCTGAAAGTTTGAGTTTGTTGTGGCCAGTACATGCTTCAGACAAAGGAGACCGCAACACAAGATCGCCGACTCCAATCAATCAGTAAAACGACGATGTATAAGCTTGATGTGCTGCTGTCGTCTGTACGTAGGCAAACACAGTAGAACATTGTATAGGGGCCGCAGAATAGATTTTAATTAGTCTGCGCTGCAAGTGCTCTATGCTATTGGTGTGAGCAGTCGTACTATACAGGGTGTTAGGTAAATGGGTATATAGCCGACACTAGCCCATGTTAACATGGGCATATAAATGGCATGGTGAAGTCAGAAAGGACAGTGCCAATCCATGTATGGAAGTTGGACCAAGTGCTGCCCAGAATGAAACCATAGTACCTTGCTCCATTTTGGAAATAATTTATTTCTGTCAAGTAACCAAACTACTGCAGCGCTAGATCGCTTATAAAGAATGTCGAAGTCGTACTAAAGTAACGTGTACGAATGCAGTATGGTTAAGTTCAACATAGCGAGTGTTATTTTTAATGCTACAATCGTGAAATCTTATGCGTAGTACGTACACATCGATGATATTTTGTATGTAAATAATTCAAAACAAAACTCTTTTTTTCTCTTAACTCCAGGGATAGATTTCAGTGCGCTTCGATTTACACATTAGTATAGGCCTGAGGAACAAAATGCACTATGGGTTGATTCTGGGCAACACTTGATCCAGATCCTGGCACTATCCTTTGGTATCATTTTTTTTTAATTTTCATACAAAACATATTTTATAAAATCCGATTTGTATAAAAATTAAAATAATTAAAATGAAGATATCAATTTTCTGATTTCACCATACCATTATATGCCCATGTTAACATAATATCCATTTACCTAACACCCTGTATGACAGGACTTAATTGTTACGAACATTAATTACTACATCACGATTGATAGTTATATTTATTGTTTACGATTTGCTTCCGTACGTTTATTGAGAAGAGTAAATACTTACTAATTAGTAGTTAATAATAATAAGTAGTTATAATTCAATGACTAGAATAGACATCTGTCTATTAATTGTAATAAATCCATTATTAGACACTAATAAAGTATCCGCCGACATTTTGATTGCTGTTCAATTGTCAAAGATTCGCCGACTTTATGAATTTTGTATTTTTTTTTCTACGAGTACTTATACCAATAATTCATATACCTAGTGCTTGTTATACAATATTTAACGGCAGTAGCATGTGTAAATGAAAGCTAATGAAAAAATCACGAGCATCAAACTGCGTCACTGCTTCTAACAGATTTACTATCTCGGCCTTGTAATAACCATTCTATTCCTGTCTGCTTGGATTTTTCGCAACTCCGCACACCGATTGACTGAAATTATCATACAATATTCAATAAGGCTCATTACGGTTCATTATTATTTATTTTCGGCATATTTATTTGAAGAAAGCATTCAATAAAGGTTGATTCATCTAATCTAGATTTATTTGTTTGAAAGAAAAATATTAGTTTTGGTTCAGTGAACGTGAACAATCATCGGTAGATTGACACACTCTTATTTGATTGTGCGGCAGCCAACGAGAGGGTAAAGTCTCGCCAGTAAGAATACCTATTTTTGTTTTATCGGGAGTTTCTGAAAAGTAAACGATTTGATGGCTTTTATGTCGTCTGGCATTTTAATTCAGTAGCAGTAGGTATCCATCGATTTTTGATGAACAGTACCCACATGTTTACCGACTGAGTGTAAGTGTAACACTACTCGTTGATGTGAAAATGGGATTGTTAATGTATTGAGGACGGCATACTGTTTTGATACCTTATCTGGTTATAACAGGTGTTATTTTGCAACAAAAATGTAGGTAGGTAGGTATAGTGCTGTGAGCTGTCGTACATATGAGGTGTTCGATACAGATACGTGCGGATTCAATAAATATTTGTACAATCCGAAACGCAATTCGCATCAGAAAATCCTCTGTTCGTGTAAAATTTTACATCATTGTTATTGCAGGTCACAAAACAATTTAAACTCGGTCCAGTGGAGAAATATTTACTGTCAAAAGCCGAGCCGAAACCATAAATGCAGAATACAATTTGAAAACCTCACACCCTGGATACATGAAGGGGAATCGACTGAGACTCGATGCACTTTGATATGGCGCGGGATAGACGTAGCATTACGAAATACCGAGCAAGCTTATAGCGTAAAATTCGGAAGAGCAATTCAAAAATATTTTGAAGCAATATGGTTCTGTGATTTGGTTTGCGTGTAGAAATAAAATTGCAAGAAACCTCTTATGTGTGTTTTATTGGAGTTTTGCGGCGTTTACCTTTGAAGGCATTAAAGTCGATGCAATCTAAATTTTATTCGCCGTTTTTTAACTCTCCCTGCCATAGAACAGGCTCTGGAAAACCGATAATCAAGATAAATTACCTAATTAAGAACTAAACAGGCATTTAATGGTCTAGTTGTTTTGGTTTTACACACCTATTATTATTTTTAAAAGGTTAATAAAGGCTGGTGTAAATTTATTATTGAATAGTTTTTCTTAGTGATTCTTGCATTTAAACTATTATATACTGTAGATTTTTTCGATAACCTTTTCAAAACATAGCTACGAGTATGAAAAAACATTCCGTGTTTGCTGTAAAAAAAATACTATCAAAATAATTTAAATAATTTCCTAAATAAAGACTTTTGTTCCTATTTTTGTTGTTTCCTATAGGAATGATATTTTGATTACGATTGCATTATTTACAAAACAATAAGTAATTTTAATAAGCATAGGTTTTAGCATAAGCCTAAGTTCCCGAAATGCCAAACTCTTAATCGTTATTTTTATAAATCTAGACACAAGTGGAATACATTGAACGATAAAAAAGTAAGTAATACCTAGATTCAATATTATAGAAAATTGATAACGGAACGGAACGAGCATAGAGACGGAAGGACGTTTAGTTACAAAATCGACAAACAAGTCTCAGCTTTGAACGTTTAGTCGGAAATATGAGTTGCTAAAACGCCCATGGAAACCACCCGACTGGATTAACCCGGACATCTTTTCGCCATTGGTCCGGATTTCCCGATTTTTAATTAAAATGGATTTTTAGTTTGTTGAGTAAAAAAAATTCGATATAACCAAACCAGGGTGGATTTTAGATGAAGTAATAAAATGTAAATTCAAAATTTTAAACTTAGTTTCAACTCGAGGGCATATCCGATCAACGCTGCAAAATCAGTCATGTGATTTCCTGACAAGCAATTATATTACGGTACAAGCAAAAACGGTTTAAAGTTTAACCATTTAGTTGGAAATATGAACCTAAATACTCCCAGGGTGACCGTTCGTCTGTACTTGTCTGGATATGTGAGGACTTTTTTGCTGGATCCGGCATTTCTTCGGCTTTTCAATTTATCACGACTTTTCAAACTGAAGAGACAATCTTAGTTCATATTAAAATGAAATCGATAATAGTTACGAAATTTTATTTATTACACGAGTAGTAGAGACTTTACATCTCCCAAATGGTTACCCTATTTACCTGAACTGCATTTACTGCTAGTGAATTTCAAAGTTGCAACTACAAAATGCTCAATTAAAGCTTATAATACGAGTATGTACTAAACTTCCAGAGCATCTGACGAGCGCTACAATTTCCGTGTATTTTCCAGACAAGCAACTTTAAAGTAAATAGGTATTATAATTTAGATACACTCTGTTTTGAAGAGTAAGCCTTAAGCTTATTACAACTAAACTACACGTTTTGCATGGATATTATTGTGGTTATTATAAACTTTACCACGAGTGTTTTGTCTTAATATTCTGTTTATGGTTGGAAATCTGTACAGACGTGGAGCACTAATTGAATTTTGAATGTACGCCGTGGCAAAGCTGGTGACAAAAGCAAATGCTCTTAGGCGCACTACAGTAATGTGATACTCAACATCACCATGATTTGATACCAAATGTTGCATTATTGTGTGCCAATGAGAGATGTAAGGTGGTTTCAGTGCGCGTGCATGTGAGTATATGATAAGATCGGTGTGGGCAGTAAATATTAGCGTTGTTATATTCGTATTATAAAGATGCTAAGTATAATAAAGTTTTTCATTCTTATGATTCTTATACTCGTATTATAAATGTTATGATTATTAATATCAATAGGAAAATAATAAAAAGCCTATTTTATTAGATTTTCAGCTATCATATCCATAATATATATAGGGAGATCGACATAAATTATCGCTGCATTCAGATATTTACATTTTACGCAGGTGTACCTGGTGTTTCCGACCCTTATGATACGTTTAATTGATTCATAATGCCACACACACGTGTAAAATGGAAATATGAAATAGAATGGTGGCTAGACTAGAATTTTGAAATCTCGTTTCAATTTAACTTTTTTGTTAAGCTTTTGGGGCGTCGCGGGACGCCAGACTGGAAAATGACAACTCAGCAATATGATCGTGTGATCATAGTAATATTGATTTTACAAAAGCATAAATGAGCATACAAATGTGTGACTTCGAACAACTTAAGAGCCATTTTACATTTTCGTGCGAATTTCTAAGATTTTGGAAGCAT